CGGGCGTCAGCAGTTCTCAGAGGTGACCGCGGTGAACGGCGTCCCACAGGGCTCTGTTTTCCTCGTTTTCATTAGTGACTGCGTCAGGGAACTAGACTGTAATGTCATCCTGTTCATTTAGAACATCAAATTATGGAAATATGCTCACAATGCTGCAGACGAGAGCCATCTGCAAATAAACTTGGGCAAGCTGGAGGACTGGTTGAATCGCCTCTTTATACCCTTCAGCGTATGAATGTGCGACGTTTTTCAATTTGACAACTGTAGAGTCTCCAGCCCGAGGGCTAGCTTTCTAAACGGTTCATCATTGACACAAATTGACCGTCAGGAGAATTTGGGTCTGTGTCGACTACATCTTCAATCAAACCAACTCTGAACTGCACAAAGGTAACAAGGTCGGCGCAACTTCATTGCAACTCATCAGCTGACCCTATATGGTGATTGACAAAGACAACTTGGTATTATTTGATTATGTAGCCTCATCTCATGGACACAATACTTCTGGGTTGGAATTAGGGTTAGGGATTATGGTTAGGAGTTGAGGCTAGGAGTTGCGGATAGGGGTTACAGTTAGGGAGTATGACATCTATGTCTCAACCGCTCAACGTACAACCGTGCATTCCCAGCGGTTTCCTTCTGCATACAATTACTTGACCTCGTCGCCTGTGCGCCCCTCCGCCCCACCTGCAGAAACCCCTAACACCACCGGTTACGTATTACAGGTGGCTGAGGTTTGTTTACTTGAGGTGGTGCTATATAACCACATCTGACTAACAGCTTCTCAAAAATGTTAAAAACCTTCGTGCGGCTGCAATTATATGACACCACACAGGCATGGAGACCTCGGACTGTTAAGGCCTGTATTTTCTTCGAGATGGTCAAGAGACAGACGCCACAAATGACCAAAGGTCTGGGGACGGTGCTCTGTGAAAACAGACCGTCGGCCCTCAAGGTAGTTTTTCTTTCGTACAGGCAATCACGGGCTGAGCTGATACTAACCCTCCGCAAGTTGAACGGCCTGGAATGTTGCTTTATCCCCCAGTGATTTATTCCCTCAGGCTATCACGTACAATTTGCGGGGTCATTCCCCAACACTACGCACAGATGAAGTGAGGATCAACGGTCGTAAGGTTTTCCTCAGTAAAAAAAGTTGCTGCAGCGTGGTACTTCCTGCCAACTGATGTTGCTCTCTCCTCCTGTGGGACTTCATTTAATTGCAAACTCGACACCTATCAAGCTTCTCACCGCCAGCCACAAACTTCCACATAACCGGTCATCGAAGTTATGTATGGCTATACTACTTTTAGTAAGTGAGCAGACGTTTATGTTTACTCATTTTCTACAGTAGTCAAGTGCTTGCTCTTAGCATTCGACTAAGCGAATATTCACTTTTCCAATTTGCCTTGCTTATTGATGATTTTCATAGGCACTTTTTAACCAATAGAAAGTTTAAAGGTGTTCAACTGTCTTCCCCTTAGTAAAACTGAACTGAACGGAACCCAGTAATGACTATTGTGGCTTCTCCTTCCCTTTTAGGAAATGCTTCTTAATTCTAATCTCGCAATCGATTTCTTTCCAACTACAAACCGATTTTCGTCCTTGGGCGAAAATAAATGAGAAAAATCTGCCTACTTAGGATCACACAGTAAGCCATACGGCTTCTACTCACGAAACTTTACCATGAATACCACCAGACCGAATGTTATCTGTGCTGCTGTACTTTACACACAACACATTTGGTCGGAGTATTTGGGTAGATATCTATCTTAGCAGGACTTCAAGTGCGGCATTACATACAGAGGCGTTTAATCTTGCTTTAAGTATAAGAAAGTTAGTATTAAAAATTGTGGTTTCTGTTTGTCGAGGTCGCACTCTTTTAGGACTCTAGCGCTTTATGTAAATACCTCGGTTTGATTTTACGAACGAACAAACCGGTGATCGGTAAAATGCTCTCAGAGTCAAAAGTATGCTTACCGCTTCACCCTCCTCCTTTTAAGAATTTGACTTACAATTAATCAATAGGTGCTGCTGGCAGAGCTGACTCCATCAAAACTCGGCAGTGAAGGTTGGATTTTAATTCATGACAGCAATGGCAGGCTTAGGTACAGTCAACACTGTAACCACCTGGCCAACGATGGTCCGTTCCTCACAGCTCATGTGGTTGGAGTGTTGGATGTACCCCAACCTTGCCCTTACTATCGTGGGTTCGAATGCCACCGAGGCCATCAAGTTTTTCACCACTGGGTCAAATTAACCATAACTAACAATCTAATCGCATTACTCTGTTACCGGACTTTAGTTAAAGGCCAAAAACAGGCGTTTTCTATAGATTTGCAATATTTCGCCTATCTTAAGGTTGAGAATACTATGCACAAAATTCGGGCGATTTCTTTCAACTGACGACGGTCAGGAGCACTCCTTTACCTTCGGAGCTCGAAGGCTCCGAACTCTGCTTCTGGTGTTTCTAAAATATTTTTAAAACGAGGACACAGCACCAGTCTAGCTTCCGAAAATAGAGAAGTATAGTGAGAAAACTACGTCCAAAAAGACTAGGCTTTACACCTTAGTGCTCGAGCTGATGTGGCGACAGAAAAGTGGGCGAAGGCACCCACGAAGGTTTGCATTGTAGTAGACCTAAGCACTTTTGCGCTGGTCAGTGGTTTTCCCCACACGCGTTCTTTCAATGTGAATATATGTTCCGCTTCTGCTTTACATTGGCTAGCGCCTCTTGCAGTTTTCACCCAATTGCCAACCTATAAGACGTATCGGCCAATACGGGAGAGGCGCATTGTCCATTCGCATTGCGTTGATTGGCCGCCGCGGCGTGACGGGCATCTTCACTGCGGCATCGTATGCAAACAGTTCATAATTTTAATTATCACCTTTTCGAAGCCAACCGATTACAGGGATGGTTGGTACAGGTAGCGGGAGCTTTTTTGTGAAGCACATTCTCGGTTTACGATCAAAGGGATTGCCCACAGACTTGACGGGCAGGACAGAGGAGAGCCTCAGCTCAGGTGGGTTACGGCTAGGAGGCCTACCTGATTTTTATGATTCGGGGAACATAAAACTGCTACGGTGAAAATTAATATGTCGCATTTTGGAGAGTGATAGTCATTCTAGTAGCTGTTTGTACATTTGAACGATAGCCTGGGTGACAAAAGTGACAATTAAGGGTTAGGTAATCTCAAAACTTTGTTATTGCAAGTTATTTTTTCAAAAAATGATTAAATTCATTCACGCGGTTTTCGTGTAGTTATTTCCTGTTGCTGCAGTGAGAAAAGGACGATCGGTAAACATTTCACCTCAGAATTCATGTTGTCCCCAGAACCGTCCGATCTGTTTAATAAATCTGCGCAGATTCCACATTACTGTACTTCACTCTTGTTAGCTAGCACTACCCGTGATAGGTCGACATATATGAGTGCGACCTTAGAATAATTTTTCATTTCTGACGTTCCGCCCTAAAGTGACGGGAGCAGTCCCAAGTTTCTCCTTCTGATATCTACAGATGGCTGAATGGCTGATGCAATTGCATCCGTTAAGTTGTTCTACTTTATGTTTAGGTCTAAGTATCTGAGTATCAGTGTGCTCCCCAAACGGGCCGCGTGGTAGATGCGATGGGACAATACGATGGCCAGATCGGATTCTGGCAGGCTTTATCAGAATTACACAACATAACCGATGCCAACATTTTGGGGCGCGATAGTAGACCCGGTTGCCAGCAGACGTCGCGCACACCGGGACGCTGCAATCCCCCACTGTTGTTGTTGGTCAAAAACTTGGTTATTTGTTGTATGGACCAGGGGGTGTGGGGTGGAGCGCCAAGGTGCGGGTTCGACCGTGCCATCCGCCTGCGCTCTTTCCCGCTTCCGGTCTTCTTGACTCTGTCTTGACACCGGGTCCATGCGGGTGGGGAGAGGAGAGTGCGGTAGATGCTATGCAAGTCTACCATTACTATAAACTCAATTTTCGCACAAGTCACCGTACCTGCTCCACCTTGCTATGGAACGCACGGTGGACATCGTCGGCAACAACGGTCGAACTGTCTTGTATTAGTACATTTTATATCAGTTCGAAATTGAAAAATTCTCCCTAAACTGTCTTCCTACAGTGTCCGTATGTCAGCATCTAAGGTTAGGAACGGCTGTGTGTAGACCTCCCCTGACCTATGGCGTAGGACCACCTGTAATACATACAGGAACGGTGGACTTTATGAAAAGAGCCTTTCAAAAGAAGAAACATGAAGTTCTCAGGCAGGCGAAGAAGGAAAAATCGTGTTTGCATCGTATGTTTGTTGTAATTGACAAGGAACTGTCTTTGTCGTGGGATAGTCACACTCGGTTCCAAACTTGTAATGCAACAAGGGAATATTGAACGAAACTCGTGCAATTTAAGGGTTTGCAGAAGAAACGCACTCGTTAAAAGCCCAGGCACGCGTATTTTGCCGATACTATGCCGCTGCATGACATAGCCGCGATGGATTCGGCTCCTCAGTGGGTCCCCCAACATTTCCCGACTGCTTCCTGGCAGACACTCCAGTTTACAAACTGTTGTTTTTCATTTCCTCAGAAAGTAACTGCGAACTTGGAGTAGGTCATTATATACTAAGGTCTACAGGCGCAGACCGAAATTGTTTTCTCCAAAATCCAATGGAGTGATGCGTGCACATTTATGTAGGAAGGCGCTGAAGTATTTCGGCTAGAAACTCCAGACACTAGACAAGAATAGAGCAATAGGACGACTTTAATGAAGAGTTTTATCGTGTGCTGCTATCTTCGAAATGTCAGGATAAAGTACTTTGTGAGTGAAAGTCTTACCCTTCAAGAACTGTCTTTGCTTTATTCACATCAGGAGAACAAAGGACTGTACAGAAAAGACATCAAGTGACTGGTGATGTCCAGGGTACCGAAAGTGGAAGCATACTTCCACCAGCCAGCCAGACATTTGGCCAGCGGTTGGCCGATCTTTACTTAAGAGGGAATACACTGCATCAGGAGATGTTCCCCACAACCCAGTCAACTCTTGAAGAGGAAGAGGAACGGACGGCGGTTGCCAGAGAGGCGGGAAAGTGCGAGGAGAGAATGCGAACAAAGCGTGAAAAGATGACCCATCAGCAGTGGCTTGTTCAAGGTCCTTTCGGCAATGACAGTAGAAGTGAGAGGAGGGAGGAGTGGGAGCTGGGGGAAGGTGAAATGGACTGCACGGTCGACACCAGACGGAGACGTAAGCGGCGAATACTGTTCAGCAAACAACAAACCTACGAGCTGGAGAGACGTTTTCGTGAACAGCGCTATCTCTCGGCGGCTGAGCGAGAACAAATGGCCAGACTAATCAATCTTACACCCAACCAGGTAGGTAAAATTTACTGTTCATTCAGTATTGTGTCAGTTATGATAGTGGTCTCGCGACAGGCATCCTGAGAGATCTAGACACGCAGGTTGGGTCTTTCAGATCCCATAAGAAACCTGTTAGAAGTAGTGAGCGATATTCTTGGGTTTTGTTAACTTTAATATCGTTGTTATTTCCTCCCCAGGCCCTGAAGTAACAGGGTCTAGTCATGGTTGCGTAAATTCTAATGGACAGCGACTGCAACAGATCTTCATTTATAGACTAGTACGTGTCAAAATTATATGGGACATTTATTACAAGCACGTGTCCGGTGGACGTTCAAAGTGGCTACTGATCTCGACTACTACATTCACACCTCCCCCTGAAAAGCTCGTCGCCTCCTCGATTACTGTGAGAACTCGTGTTTCCAGCCATCGCGAATTATGACTAATAGGCCGATCGAAACCGACTGAAAAACGAGCTCGTGGTTCAGTAGATAGGAGAATTGGACTTATAACCAACAGGTCGTGAGATCAAGCCTCAGGTGTTCCACACGTCGAGGCTGCGTATGACTGGCTGACGATGGCTAATGAGCCAGAAACAGCTATTCCAGTCTCCATTGTCTTGGTCGATAATGTCATACTGGACCGCGTGTTAGGATGACACCCGCTACGGGGAAAGCTCATTTTGTCAAATACCCTGGAGCAATACTTTTCGTCCCATAATTATGTCACCCTATGCGACTAACTGTGAAGGTTTTAGGTAGGTGCTGCATGACAAATCGGGGTACTCCTCGTTCGCCCTGCAATCACAATAAATCAGCGGATGCGTCTTGAAATGGCTCTACTGACAGTCTACAGATTGCGAGTCATCGCCTCATAGGATACGAGGAAAACGGAGGTTAGAGGAATCTGAATGCAAACTTCATGTCGAAGAATGGCCCGCTGACGATGACAAACAAGGAAGGAACTGTCGCTTTGTTTGTCAATGGGACAGGAACAGTCATGAACAGGTGTCACCTCTATTATAGGGCGTATCACTTTTCTGTTCGTTAAATGGTACGAAGTCCGGTCGTCGGTCCAGATTCCTTAACCTTCTTTTGAATAGTTGTGCCTCTTTTTTTGCCCCTTCCTTCCCTTTAGAGTAATAGGTCCCTAATTAGCAGGGGCTTCTTGTCTGAACTTTCTTAGAAAGCTTGCTAAAATAGAATACTGAAAAGGGGGAATGAGCACATAGTTATAAAGTTTGCTGCGATATAGGTATAAATCACCCAAGAAGGAGAAACGATCGCTAGAACGAGGGCTTTATTCGGCTGACGTTTCGGATTCCTGATTGAACACATAATCGGAGACCGTGGCAGATCGCTTAATGATAGATTCGAGCAGGAATCCGAAACGTAAGACGAACGAAGTTCCTGTTCCAGTGATCGTGTCCCCATCTTCACGACTACCTCCTGGGACGCCTCTCTTCGTTTCTATCGACAAACCACTTAAATTATGATGCTTAAGTAGGTATTCTACTCAGCAATGGAGCTATTTTTTTCTGCGCACCCAAATGGTACTTGCTAGTCCATTTTCATCGCACCCACCCGCGCCAGCGTACAGTTTTCCTGAAAACAAAATAATGAGGCTCAATAACGTTCATTTCGACTTTTGAAATATGCGTACCTTTGAGTGACCAAACCTGAACAAACCAACTGGCTGCTTTCGTAGATCCTAGCATTGTTTTTTATCCGTGTCGGTAGGGAAATATTTTACGGTAGTGAAGCGTTTTACGATGAACTGATTTACACCTGCTCTCCAATCAGTCCTAAAATAAAAAAACCGTTTTGCTAATGACCACTTAAGAGGGAGCGTGTGAGCTTATTTCAGAAAACGATAGAATTCCTCTCCAGAATGCTCCAAACTTCACTGACCAGCGCAAAAATACGAGGTCCATTGTTATAGAAATCAGCAATCGGTTAATTTTAAACTGACAGTTTATTGGTCATTGGGAGGGATCGATGCCATTAAATAAGCACAAAAAATAAAAAGGAAAATTCGTTTAATTCGAATAAACAATCAGTCTTCTGGACTAGAGCTGAAAAGTACCCATTGGTTATCGCAAAGTAGCATATGGTGTCCGAAGTTGCTAAGTCCGTTGTTTTATCTGTGGTCAGTTTGAGTGAGGGTCACATACCAGACAGCGAGTTTACTTGATGTGCGTGGCTTAGAGGCATGAGTTGATGGAAATAGGAAAATAAACATTACTGTCTCTTAGAATAAGATGAACCGCCTCCCACGTAAGCATAAAATTGGCCGTATCCATGTTTCGGGGAAATCGCTCTGAAAACAAGTGATAACGAATTCCACAATTTTACACTTTTCCCAAACTCCTCCCAGCGAAGGCCAGAAAGACTGCTTGGATCCTCCGCAGGCTTCTTTACACGACGGCTCGTTGGACTTGGGACGCAGTTACGAAGTTACGTTCAGTAATGTTTCAGCGATTCCTCCGAGGAGTCCTGAAGATGTTAACCCAAACTACAGCCATATTCAGATGTATCCGTAAGAATCTCCAAACATTCAGCACCTTTATTTCTCGAAATTAGCTTTTTTATTCAGGACGCGTTTTTATGCTTTTTCCTTGAATTAACGATATTCAAGCCATACCGGATGGGTCACTGAGTGTACCGTTCACGATTTGCCAACTTACGATGACACTTTAGTGGTACTTCAAAATAAATGGCCGCCGCCAGCTTGTAGTACTAAATCCCTTCTTATCCCACAAAACGATATTCCACGTTCAACAACGTAGAGAATATCAAAGCACTCAGGCATGTCTTTACGAGGCCCGTTGACTGGTGTTTTGAGATGCCTTGCAGCCCAGCAAGGGCAACTTGTGTTAAAACTAAATTTATTTTGATGACCTTGCTCACAACTGCGTAGTAAGTACACGGGACTTGCAACCTCACCCGGAAATCATGATCCGGACACGCTTCATGCTGTAATTCACGCGGTGTGTCGGCGAGCCTATGTATGTGATTTTCCTGTTGTCTTTATTTAACTTTTTATTCAATTTATGTAGAGCTGCAGACGGAAAAAACACTGTGGGCCGGGACAGTGGCCAGTCCAGGGTTTTTTACGCCTTCGTCTGCCAGCCATGACAAAACTGGCAGATGGAGGCAGGCTGATGGAATTTCAGTTCAATGACCCTCCTTCCCTAACGGTTGCACTTTATTCACGGAACCACTGCGCAGTGTCTATGCGAATACTTGCATTTTAAATCGTAGATATGCCCGTCTAAAAAGACGTAGCGACTGCTGACTCAGTCCGCCCTGCCTTCATTTAGCCACCTGCGCTATTGGTCCCCGCGCGATCCAGTTATTTTCGCCTATTCATGTTTCGGCAAGATCCTATTTTGTGGCAGTGTCTGTTTGGAGTTAGGAGTTGGGGTAGTGGTTGGGACTAGGGTTTGGGCTGGGGCTTGTTTACTGCAGGTGCGGCGGCGAAATAAGATCTGACCCATGGTTCGTACCGTTAGAGTCAACGCTTACCTTTTCTGAGTAGTCAAATCAATCGTTGAGCACCAATTCCCCCTTATATTTGTAGACAAAGCATCGAAATTGCACGCAGTGATCTCCGATAGGCAGGGCTCTTTAAGGACATTGCTCACTAAATGCTCAGTCAACCCACTGCGGTTCCTTAATACTCACAAAAGTATCGGGGTCATTCTGAGGGTATACGAAGAACATGCAAAAGACCCATTCAGGCAAGCTGCCGTGCCTATTGGTCCAAGAAAATATTGCCTAGACAAAACAGAGCTTAATTAAGGAAATATGCTATATATAAACACAACATATCTTGCATTTGCCTATCATCTTACGGTTTCATAAGTGCAGATAAGTTTTCCAACGATATCTGCGATGCGCAGGCGGTGTAATAGGCCACATTCATCGAGATTTTGGACCATTTTACTGGATGGTATTCGATCTTAGAGTCATAGCAACCCGTACCGCGCTCACATATTGAAAAACGGCAGTTGAAGTGAGGGCTTACACTAAGCATAATTTTCGGCAAGGGTGTGGGCTGTAACCCCCTTGAGAGGACCGTAATTAGCCACAAACCCAGCGTCAACCATGACCATGCCTTCAAGAGGAAATCTTCAGCTCGTACGCATTTAGTGAAAACTCGGACGTAATCATAACCTTAAGTCAAGGCATAAAAACCTCGCCCTAATCCTAATCACTAGAATAGCCCAACTCACGCCACTTCTAATCGACGCTCAAGCTCCAACCTTAAACTCCAAACGGGCAAAATTCGGCAAATTCGCATCCTGCATAACCTCTATTACAACCTCCTGCCAGGCAAACCGTTATGAAGCACATCCAACTACGCGAGGTAAGAAGATAGGCTCTTGAGCAACCACCCAGGGGGGCTTACATACTCCAACCTTACCTGGTTGTCAACTACACTAGGCAAGAGGGGTTCAGTTTTCCACCTCTGAAAGGGAGTTTATACGATTTTTCCGTCGTTGGTCCGGAACCTTAGGAAAATTCTGTCGATTTTCGCACTTCTTTGACCGACTCCCCGAAGCGGCCTCCCCTAGCTGTGTCGAAAGCGTCCGACCTGCACGTGACGAAAGTACTGATTGGCCAGTCGCAAGAGCGGAACAATAGCTCCGGCAGACAGCACGACGAAGTTCATTTCAAGCTCTATGCCTAACTTGTTGGTGAATTTGAGCTCTGCAAACGACAGAATCGGCATTTTGGAAGACCGTTTATCCCCCCGGGCGCCCTGCAGTGGTCTAGACAGATGCGTGCCAGCGTGCGTCCCTCCTGTGACAGCTGATGCAGGTTTGTAACAAGGTCAACAGGCGGGTAAGCGTTTGGAGAGCTTACGGGCATGGCACTTCCGGACAGTTGCTGTCGGTGTAGAAGCTGGAGGCACAGACGTACTCGCAGCACTTGAAAAGACTTGGAATGCAGGTCAAGTGCGAGGACAGTCACAGCACCATCACAGCTGCCACACACACGTACACACTTCAGGCGGCTGTTCACCAGGGTAACCAAAGCTGGACTAGGTCAGCTTGTAACCCCCACGGTTTGGCGTGTTTTAATCTGTGATTGGAATGAACCTGCGGTCCTGTTCGGACGTGACTTGCAATTTCAGAAACATTCTGGTGGGCCATCCGCTAACATTGGCTGACTCTGGCAGCTAGTCCTAAACTTAATGCGGGCTTTCGACTGCAACAAGGCCGACCCTGTTGCGTTATGTGTCATCTTACCTCACCATATACTATTTTATTTAAGCGCCTTGATTTTCCGACAGATTTTCTGGTGGGCGTGAAGCATGTCGGCTCTATTCACTGGGAGACAGCATGAGGGCTTCTGATCGCTTCTAAATACCTATATAAAATTGGAATTAACGTCAATTACATAGAAAGACACCTCTGAAGCGCGTTAGAGACCATCTGATTCAACCAGAATTCTAAAAAAATAAGTAAGTATTCTTACGACTTTTCCCTTGGACCCCAAGATTTATTCACCCATTAATGAATAGCACCTTTTTCCAGAAGGTCTGGAGGGAAATTTTAGTTGATCAGAAGAAGAAGCGATCGCTGGAACAATGGCTTTATTCACCTGACGTTTCGGATTCTCTCTTGAATCCATCATCAGAGAGAATCCGAAACGTCAGGCGAATAAAGCCATTGTTCCAGCGATCGCTTCTTCTTCTGATCAACTAGTTCCTGGAACTCGCATTTTCGCTTTTATCGGAAATTTCAGCACTCCAACGAGCGGCATGATTGTTAAATTTGTTCCAACTCCTGCTAGGCCCTCTCGCACAACGGACAAATATTCCATCCTGCCTATCATCAATGAAGTTAAATTTTCTCTGACTAATTTCCACATAAAACGCCCTATCCACCTCGGCGAGCCTGTCGGAATATCCGACCGGCAACCCACGCTTGCTTGTCACCCTTCAAACCCGGTTTCACCTAGGTTTCTTCCTACTAGTACGCCAAAAGTATGGATGAGTAAAGATAGTTAGTAATTCGACAGGACGTCGAGAGGCTTGTCGACTTATGATCACAGTAAATTCTATTTTGGCTGAAACTGTAGCTATCTTAAACTATTCATCCCGTGAAATATTGGGAAACGAACGCTTCAGCGAGCGAGTATTCAGGAATAACTGCAAACAGAAACGTCACCAAGCGAATGAGCGTTGTTCATAAAAGCATTTTTCCCGTCCCGTAGCTGCAGAAAAAGATGACTTTGTGCGACAGCTGTAAAAGCGGGCCGACCTCCGGAGGTGAGGAGGATGCATGTGAGAAGTCCGGCTCGTCTGGTGGACCAGCAGAGTATTCTGACATTCGCAGATCACGACTACGCCTTTATTATATCACAAAACAACTTAACCAACCCCGGCTCCTGGAGCAGGTCGAGAGATGCACCCGTTTTCTTCAACCTCTTGCAATATCTCGGGGACCCAGCATCCCCTAAAAGCTCTAGACTGCACATACTTAAATTTTTACACAGCCGTCTTGCAAAAAAGTGGCCGAGAATGTCATTATCACAGTCGTAGAAATATCCGTACGACACAAATCAAAAACTCTCATGAGCATGTACACTTTGATTGAGCAGTTTCGACTAAAAGCAGACAGAGCCCTCTGTCTATTTCGTCTTTGTATGTACGCATTGCTCCTGAAAGATCTAGCTTGGCACTATTACATTTCCGAAGGTTAGGAAATAATATTCGACAATTTTTTCGTCCGGCTAACAAAGTGAAGTTGTAATTAGGTTAGTGTATGCTCACTGGTCAATCATTTTTTTGTTTGAGTCGTCTTACATAGTCGGAGACAGAAAGGAAAGGACGCGGACTTATTGCTCTTTGCTCGGCTCGATTCTACGTCCCCTGGGTATGGAAAATCTTCCACCCCACACAACCCCAATTTACAGTTATACTTTATATTCCATGTTTTGGTACAAAATGGAGTGGTCAGTTGGGCCAGCGATTATGCAGAACTGGGCGAGGACATTTGAAGGCTTTAATGGGAACAGGGAGACGAGGACCACAACATTTGTTCGCGAAGAGAAAACAGCTACTGTATAAACGCCAGGGTGGACTTCCAGTTAGGCCATCAATTGGCAATCCGACCGTCGCGAATGATATTCATAGTGTGCCCTATCGCATGATGCGAGTTGTTTATAACGATGGAACACCGGCGCAGCGTCTACAGCCTCCCCCTCCTCTTCTTCTTCTTCTTCTTCTTCGCCCGTCTAAGCCGAATATCACAACGGAGTCAGGAAGACCGGGGGTGGGATCGGTTGCAGTGGCTGATAGTCGTGAAGAAAGAGACACCACCGCTGGGGCAAGAGCCTTATTTGCCTGAAGCTTCGGATTCCTGCTCGAACCCATCAGCAGAGACAAAGGCTGATACGGGTGGTTCATGCACAAGGGGCTGTAGTATTTATAGGGTGCAGTCGCCATGCTACCGCATACCTATGAGCATTCACGGATCCCCCCTGCATCCTGGATCGTTGCACTTGGTGTGCTGACTGTTTGATGGTCGACTTTCGCGTCGTCAGTTGCTGCAACTTCACCACGTGCGTTGGATATTGCTGTGCTGATGGCTCGACCACCTGAATCACCGATCCTGGCGTTGGGAAGAGTAATCAACTGTGCTTTTTTAATGGGCGTGCTGTCTACTTAAGGCGTGTCCTACTCCAGTCAGTTCTCCCCCCCCCCCTGCTGGTCCAGCGCGTCTACCGAGCAAACAACAGTTTTGCTGACATTCTGTTTTTAACGGTGACCCCAGCGACTACGCAAACCGGTTTTGTAAGGACAGAAAGTACTTCCATGGCCACAGCTGTTTCAACCGCCTGGAGGTGTTTGCATATAACCTGATGCGCCTTCTGTACTTCAGATTATCGCCCATTGTAATTATGCATACATGTAATTAACCATACTGCTTAACGTTAACCTATCATGATGGGTCGAAAAGGATTAAATGGGTGCCCGTAATGATTCATAGATGAAATTTCAGCTTCTCTGTTTCTGCGTGGCGAAAAATTACTAGAAGAGTACACATTTTGGTCTGAATTAATTACCATGCAATTTTATTTGACCCAGCGTGATTATCAGTGAACTAGCGCCGACTTCTAATGGATAAATATCTGGCTCCAAATAGAAGAAAGAAATATAACTACAATTTGTCCGCCCTAACAGTTTTTCCACAGAAAAGGCGACCTGTTGTGAGCGAGAACGAAACTTGAGGCTGTTAGTTAATCATCTAATTCCGGAAAACGCAGCCATCTTGCGAATAGATCAGATCCTCGTACGTCAACAGCTCATTTAATCAGTAATCACGCCGAAAATGCATGCATAATTTTACGGAATTGAAAGTCTAACGCCCACTGACCAGATCGTTCGAGTTTCTTAGGCGTCACCCTTCTAGCGCGACGCGCGAACGCCGAGTAACATCCAGCACATAGACATAAACTACTGTCTTCCACGGCATAAGCGCAAACAAGGGTTCCTGCTGCCTATTTAACGGTCAACAGGCATGAGAGCGCCGAACGACATTTGTCAGTCAGAAGAAATTTAACAAGTCAGGTTTTCAAATATATCCCTTGAAATAAATTAGTATCTAACGTGTGCTAAAACCGTTTTACCTCGCATTTGACATTGAATTCCAGTGTTGTCGAGGTATTTTTCGTTTCTAACTCGCTAGTCCCACATTTGTAAAACCTTTTTTATCCTCCGGAGGATTAGAAATATAAAAAAACTCTTCTAATCGTTCATCACTTCTTCTTTTAGGTCAAGATTTGGTTTCAGAATCACCGCTACAAGATCAAAAGGGCCGGCTGTATTTATAGCCCCAGTAAGGAGAAGCCACCGCGCATGCAGCTTTTCAATGCCCGAAAGGCGACATGTCGTGCAATGACCTCCTACAAAAAGCGCTCCTCCATTCCGGCCTTGAGGGTACACTATGGACAGGCCGTAGTCACTGACTCGCGCCAATGCAAGGACCGTCAACCGCCAGCCCAGAAAATCCCGCGTTTCATGTCGGTCCGTCGGAGGCTACCAGCCGGGGAAGCTGACACGGACAGAACCACAGACCCCCTATTTCATGATCTGCGGGGCGAACCCTGCAGTGCGACCACTGGTGATGGCGACGCCACCTTGGAACTCCCCTTGATCACCACCCAGTGGCCCCAATTGTCGCAGAAGACGACCGACTTTGCCTCCTTTAGCACCAGCCTACTCACACCTCCCCTCTCTCTCCTTCTTCCGGAATTCCTCACCGCAATTTGTCAGTCTAGTTCCTAATGGGGAGGGCGATTCCGATGGCTCATCAGGCCTGACAATGTTGTTTGACACTTCGTGTTGCGTCAGTGATGGCGAAGTCTGTACAAGGAAGCGTTGCCATAAATTTTTCTTTGGTTTGACACCTTGGGTCATTATGGAGTAAAATAGCGGATTTGTCTTCACTTTCCTGTCGTTTATTAGAGGGTTCACTTCCAAGGACTTTTTGATTTCAAAAGTCTTTCTCGCTGATTAGTGATGGCGTAGCTTCAATATAAAAACAGGCGAAAACCAAAGTTTTGACGGAAGGCTTTCTCTTCCTATTGGGCAGTGAGGAGGAAAATCCAGAGATCTGCATGCAGGTGCAACATTACTGCAGGCCCATTCGCCACGTAATGATCAACGCAAGCAATCATATCCAGAAGACGCCAACTGATCAGAAGAAACCTAGCTTGGTGGGAAATGCCCAGACAATGTAACTCTGTTTCCAAAAGGCTTTTTAGAAATAAGTTAACCACCTACGCTTTTGTGAAGCAGTCAAGTCACAAAGTGAACTCAACTGTCAAGCATCGTAATTTCCGACCCCTCCCACGACTGCTGTAGTACTACGAATATTGTTGTACTGCATTGAGCTCCTGGTCATGAGCATGGACTTAAAAGTTGAGACAGCGTAAAGCGGATAGCGTGTACCGTCACTTTCAGTAAAATACTGAAATCTCGTTTCCTTTGCAGGAGAGGGGAATGTGCGTATGTCAGTTCAACCGTCGTGAATGACGATGCCCACTTTATGATCCACGGCGTGGTGGATGCAGAACGATGACTTGTGCGTGAATTAATTTATGGAAGTAGTAGACTTGCAGGCTAGATCACAGTTGGTAGCCAGGAATGGGGAATCGGACGACGACCTTAACCCTAATCCTAACCTTAACCCTAAACTTTAACCGTTAACCTTAACGGAAACCCTAACCCTAGCCCTAACCAAAATCGGAAATGAAGCCGTAGCCCTTAGACATAGCAGTAACTGAAACCTAATTCTAACCGTAACCCGAAAATATAGGCCTAAAGGCATAACCCTAACCCAAAAATCGGAAACCATTAACCGGTACCCTTATCCTAACTGCAAACGTAAAACGGAAGCCAAAATGGGTCAGATGTGATTATGGAACCCCACAAAATAGCCCCAGTAAACAAACCCCCCAGCCACCTGTAATACGGGGCCTGGCTACCAACTGCGATCTAACCTTGCATGCTAGCCGATCGCGATCTGGCTGACTTGCACAGCATCTGTCGCACGCCCCCCCCCCTGTATCCACCTTGATCCGGTATTAAGGCAGAGCCAGGGCGAGTGGAGGTTGATGCCACAAAAGGCCTGGTTCGCGCGCGATGAACCAGGCTTTGACAGGAACGAGAAGTGTTCGCCTTCGATTCCACGTGAGTGTGAGTGCCACAAAAGCCACACTCAGAAGGACCCAGCGGAGCTCGAATTTCTGTTACGGAGAGCCGTAATCGGGCAGAGCCACGGCCTGTGGTGAAACGAAGTCGCAACCCCGCGTGGTGTAGCCGGCCAGACCGGCCGTGGTATGTTAACTCGAAAAGACAGCAAGCGGGCGCTGGGGTATCGAACAGGTGTTATGGCCTTGCTCATGCTTGCGGCCCTATCAATGGCTGGTCGAATGTTTGAGACTTCTCTGCGGGGGGGGGGGGATCGCGCGCACGCGATAGCCACTGCGCATCCGGCACGCCATAAGCAGGAATTCAGAGGCTTTTTAGCAGATTTCAAATAATCCACTTTGACGAAACTGAAAAACTCTCTGCCTCGGTGGGATTCGAATCAACAACAGCAAGGGGAGGTTTTAGTGCAGCCAAGGTTCTAACAATTTGAACTACGAGGCCCCACCGGACGACACGAGTTTAATCATATTTGGGTCGAGTTTACCCGCCAAGCCCACTGCAACGTCTGGAATCCACCAATTCTGATAGAGTAAGTCGACTACCAAAGCAGGATTTCCTAAATAATGCATGTCGAATCCACCAGATGACTGTCAGGCTCTCGTAATTCAGAGGTGTTTTGGTAGATTTCACAGTTGGATCAAAGGGAATTATTTGAAATCTGCCACAATACTTCAGGATTACGTGAGCCTGATAGTCATCTAGTGTATTCGAGATGTATTATTTAGGAAATCCTGCTTGGGCAGTTAGCTTACTGTATCAGAATTGGTGGAATAGAGTCGTTGCAGAAGGCTTAGCGGGTAAACTTGATCCAAATGTGATTAAGCTCATGTCGTCCGGTGAGGCCTCGTAGCTTAGATGGTTAGAACGTTAGTTCTACTTAAACCTCTCCTTGTTGTCGTGGGTTCGAATCCCGCCGAGGCAGTGAGTTTTTCACAATTGGGTCAAAGTGAATAGGCAGGCATGTTCTAAAATGCTCTTAGCGGCTGGCACACCATTGGCCGGTATGTTCCAGAAGGCACAGGGGTTAGGATCGGGTGAAGGCCCTCCAGCATCCGTGGCATACAAAGAATACCTACTATACTTATTTAAGTGGGTTTTTTGTCCGATAGGTTTGTTCCGGTTTCGTGTTTTATCGTACAAGGCTGGGTCGTCTATTGTAGACGGTCTCGTGCATTATCTACAGTGAACTCAGCTTAGAGAGTTGATAAGCGATCGTTATAGACAGTATGGTGGATTATCTACAATGACCTCAGCTTAGAGAATCGAGAAACGATCGTTGTGAACGCCTAATGGTTGTTTTTTTTAATTTTCCTGCTTAATTTCGTTTGCTATATGTCAATGCATTAAAAATTTTCTGCCCGAAAAACGAAGTTACTAATTATCTACACCTATTTTGCTATTCCTATATGCATACATAGGCCCCGTCCGTAAAACCCCTATTGCCACCTTTGCCGTACGACATGCACCTCTGGCTGGCCGTGTGTATGTTGCGGACCATTCACCCGATCGTTGCCCGCATAGGGGCCAAAATAAGTAAGGTGTTTTTCTGACAACTCGTAATCCCCGTGTTCGTGAATTGTCAATAAAGTGTCTGTTCTCCGAACCGGCTCTTTTTTTGCTCCAGCTTCCTCCCTAGTCATAATACTTTCCGCCCTGAGAGAACCGAATCCCCCTGTCCACTGGCGGTATTTCAAGCCATGACTTTGTGCATGTCAGGGGCGTAGGATTTTTTATGTTGAGAAGTGCGCTGAAGGTGTCGACTTCACTCTCCCTTATTTCGTCCGCGCACAAATCCGCCGTCCTAGCCGGTAAGCCATCTGTTGCGGGAATTGGACGCAAGTGCCTGACGCGGAGTAGAATCTGCTCTTAGGTGAGCCACAACGCCTCCTATGTGTGGCATTTGTAATCGTATGTGCGGACTGTGTGCAGCTATGGTCAACGCCTGGCGTCCCGTCTTTTGGCACTCTATTGATCCAGCATACCTCACAGGTCTTCACAGAAACATGAAGCGGTCGGTTAGCATCCTTGGGTACGTATGTACATGGTAAAACATTCTTCTCCCCTCCAAACTGATACCACCCTCGGTACTTTTCTTAAAGCTTTATATGACTCTTGGATCGAATCCGACGTAATTGAGCATGAGTGTATTTAACATCGCTCTTCTTTCTTTTCATCTGTAAATGCTACCTCCTCTTTAAAGAATGTGAGTGAATGTGGAGGTAGTTGATCAGCACTGTCTTCAAAGCATTTGGTGACCGTATGTTGGCTTTGTCTTATTTGGCATAATTTGCGTTAATTGTGATAATGTCACAAAAATACCATAGTCAATCCAGGTAACCGGGTGAGTTAGCTTGGACGCATTCATCGATGCCGGTCCATGCTGCTGAAAGAATTTAACCGGATGCTTGAGCTGGAACGATCCGCCAGAGTGTGTGGGCGTTTTTCGTGATCTGGAAGTACTGGAGAATACTGTACTGGTGTTGTACTGAGACGTGGTCGACTTGTCATTTTCTGTGCATACACATGAACAGTAGGTGGGCTAACTCATGAAATGCCCACCGAAATTCTGAAATGGACTTTCGACTTGAAAAGATTAATTTTGTAGGTTTAAAAAATTAATCGTCTTATAGCATTATTCTATACTCAGTTGCGGCAGGATGCTAGTTTTCGAACGAACTTCTTTTTGGCTTCATGCGAAAACTACACTTTGTAAAAAATGACCACTCTTTTAGCATGCATTTTTCTCATTGATTGTTGACGCTCTCAAAGATTCAATTATATTTCATGGAGAACGGGCATAAAAACTATTCATTCTTTTGCTCATTCGGTAGAAAATGACGGCTTCTTTCACGTTTACCCTCGAACGATCGGTATAATTCGGTTTGGAAAAAGTTTATAAAGGTGAGATTTTTTATACCGTGAAATGGTCGTTCATAAAATGTCGTGTCTCCGCATTCACCAATGTCACTGGTAAATTTTACGATATGGCAAGGTGTAACGGCAGGTCGGGTTAAAAATTATTCGGGAATTGGAAACTTTTTGAAACCGAATTATACTCCTCCTTCGAGTATAAAATTGATTGAAGACGTAATTTTCTACCAAATGCGTAGTAGAATGAATACTTTTATGCATGTTTTCCATGAAATATAATTGAATCTTTGAGAGCGTCGACAATCAATGAGAAAAATGCATGCTAAATGAGTAATCACTTCTTATAAAGTGTAGTTTTCGCATGAAGCCGAAAAGAAGTTCGTTCGAAAACTGGCATCCTGCCGTAAATGAATTATTATAGAATTATGCTGTAAGACGGTTAGTTTTACAACCCTACCTAATTAACCTTTTCAAGTCGAAAACCCATTTTAGAATTTCGGTCGAAATTTCGTAAATTAACCCACCTACTGTACCGTCGCATACAAAGGACTCAACAGAGTTCTTTTCATGGTAGTTACATTTTTTGATTGATATAGTGCCTTATTTTTATATTATCCCCGTTTTCGCAGATGGAAGTTTAGTTTGTGTGTGGGAGATTATGAAGCGAATAAAAGACACCATCTTCCTGGATGTAAGCATAC